GTTTAGTGCTCTGAATATATCATACCGGTCCTTTCTGGCCTGCCAGGTCTCTGTGGATAGGTCTGTTGCCAATCTAATGTTTCTACCATTATAGGTTACATATCTCTTCTCCCACGGGTTACCCTTCTGTTGATTATTTCCCTTGCTATCTAAGCTTTTGAGTTTGATATAGTCCCACTTGTTTGTTTTCTGCTTTTGTGGCTGCACTTTTGGTGTCACATCTGAGAAATCATTGCTAAGACCAATGTCATGAAGTTGTTCCTGTGTTTTCTTCTAAGAGCTTATAGTTGTTTCTTTTGCATGTGGATATCCAGTTTTCTCAGTACCATTTGTTGAAGAGGCTACCCTTTCCCCATTATGTATTCTTGGCACCTTTGTTGAAGATCATTTGACCGTTTATGTGTGGACCTATTTCTGGGCTCTTTGGTGTATTCTAGGACTTGACTTTTATATCCCCTTTTACCCAGGAGGCCATTTGATGAGCCCACCACTCTTATCTTTGTTCAGTTTTGTTGGTGACTGAGAACTTTTGCATTTTAAAGTCTTCTAGATGGTTGAAGACACCAGAGAATGGAGTTTGAAATAATGCTTGCTATTGTTATATTTCAGGTCTATCATATGCAAGTCACACAGTTGGTTTCACGCCACCAACTTCACTGACTAGAGCCGGAATGTCTTACTACAATTCCCCGGGTCTTCATGTGCAGCATATGGGAGCATCCCATGGCATCACAGTAAGTATTCAAAGGGGAGGAAGCCACACTTGACTGTCTTGGTGATAGCAGCCACTCCTCCTTCGGAGACCCAGGGCTGATGCCCTTAGACCTTGACCTTTCTTCTCCCTCCCACCTGATGTTCACCTTCAAACTATAGAGACTTCCCAGCAGTTTGATGCCAAATTCTGGTGTGGAAACTAAAATCCTTCCCAGGAGACAAAACTTCAGCTTCACTTTCTGTGAAAAATTACGCTTTGTGAAATGTAATTTGAACTCTGGCCAATGCCTTAATTAAACTCTGGCCAGCTCTGTGCCATCACGAATCATTGCTGGTTGCCACAGTGTCTAAAATATTTATTGTCTGCATCTTCACATTTCACTGATCCTCAGTATTCTTCTTGAAATTAGCCTTATTTCTCCTTTCACTCAGAATTTTTCCTCCTGGAATTAGAAGGAGCCTTAAGTGTGTTTGGTTCAAACCTCACTCGGGAGTTTTTTCTTTAGAGCTGGTTATTAAGTTGACTCATAGAGCAATTAGAAATGTAGCTAACAGGGGTTTGAGAATAGGAGAGAAGTGAGGGTATTTCCGATAAGGGAATCTTTAAAAGAAGACTCTTACTCTACAAAAGCAGGAGGTAGTCCTGAAGCTGTTTTTATTGGTTTGATGGGCTTTATGTAAAAAGAAACATTTGGTTGAGCTGCAGCTTTCAGGATGTTGACAACTTACTTGAGTGATGGAAGGAACTTGGGGACAGACAGTGGACAGAAAAGATTAGAGTGGAGGATGAGGCAGCTGTTTTTTAATTCTAGGACTGTCCCAAGGAAGGGCCCAAGTCCAGTAGTCTGGTCAGTGTGAGTCCCATAGTAACTTTGCACAGCCTTCTCATGGGCATAGGTGCAAACTCCACCTTAAGTTTTCATTAGTAGTTCAGAAACCAGTAGGACTAGACAAGGAACTCGCTAGTTTCTTGTCTCTGTCGCTCCTCCTTTTCACTAGCCCCTACTTGTCAGCCTGTTAGAAATGAGCTGTCTGGATCCAGACTGACCTGCTGTTCTGTCCTCTCTGCAGAGGCCTTCACCGCGGAGAAGCAACAGTCCTGACAAATTCAAACGGCCCACACCGCCTCCGTCTCCCAACACACAGACCCCGGTCCAGCCCCCTCCGCCTCCACCTCCGCCGCCCATGCAGCCTGCGGCCCCCTCGGCAGCCACCTCGCAGCCCGCCCCTTCGCAACATCCGGTGCACCCCTCTTCCCAGCCTTAATGCATGTGCTTAGTCTGCATCTCCTGTTGGGACTCGTACCGTGGAGCCGTCTACTCAACGCCAAAGGCTTCCTTCCCTGGCATTTTTGGATCTGACTTATTTGCACTGAGGTTATCTAGGCTTCACTATTAATTGTGTTGTAAGTGTTTGTCGGAAACGCAGCCAGTGTTGTGGGTCTACAACACTAAACAGATGACTTTTCCCATCAGTGTTTTACTTGAATCTACATGTACGTCCATTCCCTGGCTGGAACATTCGCTATTCGATATTTGGTAATTCAGCAGTAGTGTGCAATTTTTGCTTGGCCCCAGAGCTTCATTTTCCTGGCTTTTAGGTTTGTAAAATAAAAAGGGATATCTTTTTTACATTTTTTTTTCATGAATTTGCAGAAAATTACTGAGCTGTTACTCCCCTCCCCCCGCCCCCCATTATAATGGTGTTTACCAAACATACCAATAATTCAGCACTACAATTCAGACCTTTGAAAATCTAGCTTTCGGTGTCGAATGGAAAGTTAGATGCATCAGTGCCCAAGACAATATACTCTTTGATAGAGCTTTCTACAGGTACACTTTTTATAGGTTATTTTCAGTATATGTCAACATCCATGTCTCTTGTGAAACGACAGGCTAAAGTAATGGATCACATGGCTGTACCTTTTCCACATACACGTGTGATGGATAATTATTGTATATTAAGGTGTGATTCTTTCCTTATCTTTAGTGTTAACCTACCCAGGCCGGCCCCTCTAACACGAGTCGATAAATGTTGTCCTGCCCACCGGTGGTTTTGATGGCTGATTAGACACACTCTTTGATTTCTGCTGCAGAAGGCAACATGATTGTAACAGAAACAGCTATTTTCCCCTTGCCATTCTTCGTGTTCCCCTAAAATAGAGTTTGAACAAATATCTTAAAGGTGCAAAATACTATTAGAAAGTACTATTTGAAATGAACATTATAGGAATCTCTTGGCATAACAGCCACAGAATACTTTATTGCTTGGCAGAAGAGACAGAGGTGAGACGGAAGTAGCACATAAGCTGGATGAGCACTTGTGTCGCCCAGCGTAAGCAAGTGCGGTGTACAAACAAGTATACTCTGAATACATTATTTCCACTCATTTAGCACAAATAAATCGTTTGGTTTCACTTGGAAGTGGAACACTGTGAGTCACTCTTTTCTTAATATTTGCAACATCTTTATTTTTGCTTTTCAGCAGTTACTGTTTTGTACTTTGGTAGTAAAGTGATTTTTACCACCTGTGTTTGCATATTTATATATGCTGTGGATGAAAATAACTTACTAGAGAATGTATATTTTATGATGAGAATGTGTATCTGTTGGATATAATCAGAGAACTGAAAATTAATTTATCAGTAATTTTTAAGAGTCCATGTTTTGTGACACCCATCTCTTAATAGCTAGCGCTTTATTGAACACACTCCTAAAAATAAGGAACCGTGACATTGTAGATATTTAATAGTGTACAGTATAGAGACTTCCATTTTTGCCTTCGAATGCATATTTAAGAATTACAGAATGAAACAAGTCTTGTTGGAAAATAGTGTTTGACTAGCATTTTAAGAACTGGAGAGTAAAAGCAACAATAGGATTTTTCACCTCTTCCTGCTTCCACCCCTGAACTTCACTCGCCAATTGGTCTATATAAATTTTATTTATAATCTGTATGTAATACACATAATCATAGTACAGTTCTCAAATAAGGGGAAGAAGTTTGGCATTTAACTATCGAGGCTTTAGGTTTTTAATTCGATCAGACAGGGTCCTAGCAAACCCGGGGATCTCACCAACAGCCTGCCGCCCCTCCTGGTACATTGCCATTCTGAGGAATTCTGAGAGGAGGCAAACCCATTTTGCCTTCGCGGTACAGTTCTTGGTTTTTCTCATAGGAGAAGTATGGTTTCTGTTTACAAGACTCTTTCATGAGCTGATAGAATTTAATGCTGTTGGATAGTGGCTTGCACGCAAACGAGAAAGTCCATAACGGAACGAGCTTCCCTCCACTTCCTGTCAATGGTTCCCTCCCGAAAGCACAAAAGTCGAAACATTGCCATATGGTGATTGAAAAAGCACTTGGCGTGAGCAAACTGCTCCTGACAAACGCCTTTTAGAAACAGGTTCTTGACTTTCAGACTTTTGCAGAAATGGAGTGCTGGTTTCCCTAGTCTCGTCATTTCACTTCAAAATAAAACACAGCTCCTTCAAACAGCACTTTTTCAACGTAGATCGAGTTTGCCTCTCGCTGCGGACATTCAGAGTTGATAGAACAAACACTACCCTTTTGAATCTGTGCTGTTTCAGGTCCTTTTTAGGTGGTTTCTGACCCCGTGTGGCACTTGTCATACATGGGCAGTGCACCTGCCAGGACCATTCCTGCTGATGGCTCAGCCACCAGGGACCCATCAAATTCAGACCCCAAGCCCATGGAGGCAAGAGGCCCCTCACCCATGGGAAGTTGACTTACCGTGGACGCTTCTCGTGGGGGCTGAATATGGTTCCTGCCATTTCTGCGGCCCACGCACCCAGGGGCACCCTGGAGCGGTTCCCTGAAGGCCTCTGTCCAATCAGGAGCCGGCCCGCGGGCAGGCGGGCACACCAGTAGCTTCTAGGAGCTTCCTTTCCCTGTCTTGCGGACAGAGACCCTTGGCTACCACTGTGCTGCTAATAGGATAAGTACTCTGTTGCCAGATTACCATGCCTTTTATACAAAACCAAATTAACTTATCCAATACCTGACACCTCTCTGGGCTCTGAACTGCTTTCTCTCATCAAGCATGCTGGCATTCTGGACAGAATTCCAGAAATTTGGCAGATGGTGGAAATATTTAAGATTTAATTTAACTTGCTCCTTGTTAATTGAAAGGAGTTTTAAATTCTGAGCTCCTGCGATACTGACCAACCATGGGATGAATGTGTGACCAGAATGTGGCTTTGGCACCAAGTGCCGTTGTCCCTTGGTAATTGGCTTCTAACTGATTGGACCAGAGATCACTGATGATGTGAATTTTTGTTAACTGTTCAACTGTAGGAAAATAGAATATGTATCTCCCTCTATTAGGTAGACATGAACTTTTCCTGCACGAAGCCTTGCTTATAGAGGATGCCCAATAAGGCAAGAAAAAGCCTAGTAACTTGTGCTTCGAGAGCGCAATATTTTTATCTTACCAGTACGGAAGAATCATTTCTATGTAACCTGATCTTCTGTCTAGTACTTGTCTTATAGGTAACCAACACTGAAAACTTTGTAGTGGTAACTACCAAAGAAATACATAGTAAAACAACCTTTTATTTCCAAATTTATTAAAGAGCCAGCCGTTGACGCTGCTACACGAGTTCCATGCTCAAGAGCCATTGTAAGAGATTAAGGGGTTTTTAGGTTTCCGTTTCTGGTTTCTTCTTGTTTTCTTTTTTTAACATACACACACAGCTGTTGGCATGATATTATGGCGAGCATTTCCAGAATGCTCAGCAGTTGTTAACAGCCAAGCCCTGGTTGCCTCTTGTGAGGCGGTGGAGGGAATCCCATGTTCACGATAGCGTGGGTGCTGTGTGTGTGCGTGCGTATGTGCGTGTGCGTGCGTGCGTGTGTGTGTGTGTGTGCATTCATGCCTTAACTCGGGTTATTGCTCAACTTCAGTTCTTGACTCAGTCTGCACCGTCATCGAGATTGTAGTGTACATCTTGATCTGAACTTCATCCTGGCAAAAACAAAGTTGCAGGCACAACAGTTTAAGAATGCATTCCTCTGGAAGAGGTTTTGATCAGGTTGACCCTGAGCCTTTGGACTTTATTTGGAACTCAGCATGGAAAGCAAAAATGGACTGTCAAACGGAAAGACATCAACAAGGAAGAGAGGAGAGCCAAGTGCTAGCATGTCTTTGCCTCTGCATCTCCGTGCACACTGTGTGTTCATTATAGCTTGTTTACAACTTGACTAGGTTGGAGTTCTGGTAATAGTGGCAATCTTGACATTCTTGGTCAGAGTTTAGAGAGATGTAAGACTTCCAATTAATGTCTTATTTACTTTATGTTGATTAGTCTTTGATACATGTGCTGAATCAGAAACCTAAATAAAGATAATTTTTTAAAATGCACCTCTTGAGCCTTAAAACCTATCTCTTTCTTTCTGGTCTTTGAGTAGGAAAATGAACATTGTTTCCCTATTTGCTTCTGAGGGACATCTGACTTTGATTCTAACCCTAAAGACTGCCTTAGAAAGTAAACTTAAGGACAGGACACGGAAGGGCCTAGTACTGTTCTGTTTCTTAAACGGGATGCTGGTTATCTGGATGTATTGAATTTTTGAAAACTCATTGAGCCGTATGCTTATGATTTGTGCACTGTTCTAAGTCTGTGTTGTATTTCAACTTAAAACCATACACCTAGGAGATTATGAAAAGTGACACTCATTCCCAAAACTGTTACGTTACATATAAACATACGTGTGTGTACACGTGTACCCATACATGCGTGCACACACATATTTAGGCTTTGGATATGACCTCCAGTATATTTCCGAGCTTACTCTTAAAGTCCATCTCTGTGGTTTCCTCTTTTTTTTTGTAGAAAGCATGACTCCAGAATCACTTCCGGGTTTGAGTACCAGCTCTTTAACTGAGCCAGTTACTTAGCCTGTCTGGAAATCCAGTTCCTTCCCTGCGAGATATGTTACCTGCCTCGCTAAAATGAGAAACCAGGAGATGAAAACCTCAAGTGCAGTCCTTCACACAGGAAGATACACACTAGTCCCTCATGCATTCATTTGGGAAGAAACTCAGAATGGGTATTTGGGGTGACGTGTTATACACGTTTGAGGGCTGTATCGTTGGTCAGCTGCATTTTAGTAAGCCCCTGGCATTCGGTTGGGAAAAAAATGGTACAGAGCAGGATCCTGTCTTTGGAGCGTAGTCGTCAAGAACCTGGTTTTGATAACAATCTTACGGGGGCAGACTTTGAATCTAGGCCCTTTTCTGTATAAAAGGACTAAATGGACCTTGAGTGACTTTTGACCTCACTCTGGCTTAAGCCAGATTCCATGTTCACTATGAGTTAAAGATTTTAATTTGGCTTTTGAGCAAGGCCTCTCTACTCCTGGCAGCTACTAGGTTTTAGTGGATAATGTTGCCCAAGAAATGGCCCAGGACCTCTGAATTCAAGTCTTGGCCTCATTTGCCAGCCTGTTTTCTAACCTGTATAGTGGGGATAGCCATTGTAATTTCAGGTAAAGTGTGATGAAAACAAGATTTAAACAAAGTGCTTTAACAGCAAGTAGAGTTTAAGCTACGTGTGTACTTTTTTTTTAGTACCTTTTAGAGGCTGCGTGTCCACCAGGTGCATCTAAAATTGAAACAGTTGGGTGCCTGGGTGGCTCAGATGGTTAAGCGTCTGCCTTCGGCTCAGGTCATGATCCTGGAGTCCTGGGATCGAGTCCCGCATCAGGCTCCCTGCTCCGTGGGGAGCCTTTCTCCCCCTCTGCCTCTCTCTCTCTCTCTGTCTCCCATGAATAAATAAATAAAATCTTTAAAAAAAATAAAAATAAAATAAAATTGAAACTGTTGATGGAAATTTTGTGTTTATGTAAAAACTCTACATCTGGGCCTTTTTTTTTTAAAGGTTTTATTTATTTGAGATTGAGAGTGAGAGAGCACAAGCAGGGGTGGAGGGAGAGAGAGAGAGAGGGAGAAGCAGACTCCCCGCTGAGCAAGGAGCCCGACGTAGGGCTCGATCCCAGGACCCAGAGATCAGTGACCCAAGCCAAAGGCAGACTCTTTAACCAACTGAGCCTCCATGGTGCCCCTGGGTCTTTGTTTTAATGTTTCACTCTTTAAATTAAAAACTCGTGGAAATACAGTTGTATTCAGTCACTGATATCTAATCCAGGCCCAAACTTTTTAACATTCTCTCTAGAAATAGAGGAAGAAACAGTGAGTGGTAAATTATGTTTCATGTCTAATTTTTTTTTTTTAAAGATTTTATTTATTTATTTGAGAGATAGTGAGAGAGAGAGAGAGCACATGAGAGGGGGGAGGGTCAGAGGGAGAAGCAGACTCCCTGCTGAGCAGGGAGCCCGATGCGGGACTCAATCCGGGACTCCAGGATCATGACCTGAGCCGAAGGCAGTCGCCCAACCAACTGAGCCATCCAAGCGCCCTCAGTTTTCTGATAGCATCCCTAATTCCATATTACATTGAATGCTATTGAACTAAATATATTGAGAGCTTTTTCTGAAGAGCGTATTTTCTGATACCCTATGAGTGATTTAATGTAAATTACTAATTATCCCTAAAAGAGAT